GCTCTGCTTTACAGCTGCTATATACCGTTGTTAAATTTAAGACAGTTATTATGCAAACAAAATCATTGTATTATTTAATTTTACTCCATAAAACACCACTCTGACGGCAATGACTGACTAGAAAATGTTTGATCACTCTGGCGCGAAATCAAATGTTAATGCTCACAAATATTTTAGCACTTACAAAAAATATATTTGACATTTTTTTAAGATGTTACATATTAGAATCCACGTAAATGGTGAAAACAAAATTCTCTGTAGCTACATTTTCTTTTTTTTTTAAAGATGACAATTTATTGCATTAGGTCGTTTTTAGGTGATGCGTCTATTTTGTTGTATGTGTAGAAAATGTGTTTTTAGGTCATGAGTGGATTAGTTTGTGATGCATAGGTATTGTGTTTGTAGGTTATGTTATAATGTGTTGTATATCGTAGGTAATGCTGTATGCATAATTTGTTTTATGGATTAGGTTATGTTGTAAGTGCATATAATGTCTTGGGATGTTGAGAATTTATTTGAACTTATGGATTAGGTTATAGGCTATTATCACGTTTGTAGGTTATATGTGTGTATTAAGTAGCCCATGGCGCCTGTAGTCCTTCGAGAGACAACGGAGGAATAAACTCTGTCCAAGATTAGTGGTCAGATTTCCTATTTCCCATACACTCTCAAGGCCCTGAACCCAATTAATGGCTAATAATTACCCAGGGAACTTAACTGTAGTTGCTCTCGCGGTTTCATTAGCTGTGGTAGACAGAGCACGAGCGCCTTACGATATGAGGGCAAAGGAGTGTTACCAATCCAAACGCGCGCGATGGAATGTAGCAGCCTACTCATACTACAAGTGTAATATCCGACATATTTAATAGTCAGTTATGTACTTAAGTTTGATTTCAGGCGCAATCTGTAAAACAGCTTTTGTAAGTGTTCTACATGTGCATTTTTGTTTTTTTGTTTTCAATTACTCTGCCTCACCTCTCCATTCTCAAAGTGTTTATACGGCAACCACCACTTTTGCTTTCTTTGATATTGTTTTGGTATTGCAGCCATTGAGCACCTTTGCCAATTTTCTGATTTCCCTCCCCACCTTCTCTCTCTCTCTCTCTCTCTGAAACACACACACACGCACGCACGCACGCACACACACACTCTTACTGTGGGAGCGTGTGTGTCTGTTCGTGTGCAATGGACAGAGAGAGAGAGAGAGAGAGAGCCTGAAGCCCCGTCATCACGGAGTTGTGTTTACTTTGCCATTGCATCCACTGTATTAACATGTAAATATCAGAGCGCAGCCGTAGTTGTCGCAACAAGTGTTTTCCCCCCGTGTTTTCTGACTGTGGCCACTGCTGGGTGGATATCATTTCACATATTAAGTGTGGTGAGATCCTATCAGTCCGCAACACATAAGCCGAGCCCTTTCTTACCATGAATAAAGATATGGTTTCACTTGCTTTCAACGAACGTATAGCAATAACAGAGATCGGGATCTTATCCCTCTAATTCCATCTGTTCAGTTTTATTTATAACAGTTGATTATTATTATTATTAATTTTGGATTTTTTTCTTCTATGCAATATTACTATAGCCTACGTAATGTTTTTTATCTGTTTGTTATTTACGGTATTGTCGCTGCCCATTTGTAATAGTACCTAGTTTTTATTAACTTAATTAATTTAGTAACTTTTACTAAAAACAGTAATACAATAAAAAAAACCCCGATTAAATCGAACACTGTGTGGCGATTAATGACGGTTTAAATTGTTGCGGTCTGTTGTACACAAAAGTCAACACATAATTAAAATGAACATTAAAAAAAAAAAATCTTATTTGTTAGAATGCCCCCCTCCTTTTTTTATTTTTTTTTATTTTAACCCGAATTATAATATTGTTTGAAAACACTTTATATTTTGAAGTCTTCGAATGCGTTGAAACGAACACAGTGACAATGAGGCAATGGTGCCTCTATACATTTTATTTGACTTAGTGAATTTAATAAACATCCACGTACAACTGTATACAAACAAACAACTGTGACATATTCAAACATATATAGTGGGTTAATGCGTTTAAAATGACAGAGATTCATTTCGGCTAGTGACTGATTTGATACTCAGTTGACAAACTTCTTAAATTCTGTCCTTAATTAATTGAGAGGACACAAACTCCGTCTCCGACAGCAGTTCTCAAGGTGGGTGTCACTGAGGCCTGGTTTGCAGAACACCTCTCTTCCGGGGTCTGGGCCAGCATCCCTCCCGTCCTGTGCTAAACCACAGGAAAATGGCAACAATCTGGAAAGAAAATAGTCCAAATGCGTGGTTACATAGCCATCACGTTTCCAGGAGCTCGTAAAAAGGCAGACGTTTAAATGAAGCAGAAAACTATTCCCCAATGAGCTAGTGATGAGGAGCAGCACTTTTCTTTACAAGTGTAATTACAGTTAAATGCCTTCACAAAGGTGTTGCTCCGTCAGAAAAAAAAAATGTACAGCCCAGTGCGTGAGAGAGATTTTCATTTGAATTGTTTTATGAGGAATGGAGAAATGGCAAGCTATCACAAAAAAAAAAAAAAAAAGGGGCACATTGTTTTATACAATAAGACAATGTGCTCGTCAAAATAAGAGATGAAATTGACCCCAAGTCCACATTATTTGTGGTGCACTTCTTCTAAATCCAGTGCAAAGGTATATATATATATATATATATATATATATATATAATGTCCAGGCAAATGCGTGAGAGAGATTTTCATTTGAATTATTTTATGAGGAATGTGCAACTGGCAAGCTATCACTAAAGAAAAAATGTGACATTGTTTTATACAATAGATCTGTGTATTTAAGTCACCTTTGCTCGCTTTAAAATAAAACAACTGAATTTTAGGCTAAATGTTCTAATTATAATAATAAGAATAATTCAACAATGTCGTTTTAATATTCTATGCTCAATACGTACATCAGTATCTCGTGGTTAAATATTATTTATGTATAATTGATAAAACGCATTCACTGTCTTCTTTTTCTCAATGAAAAAACTCAGAATTTTTTTTATCTATCTTATTCAGTTTGATGACAATATATGTTTCGTATCCAGTGGATGTGTCTTGACAAGAGACGGTTTTACCGATTAAACGTTTAATATGGAGTCAATCAATAAACCAATAAATGTCATTTGTCAGTGGGAGGCTTAGTAACAAGATCACGTCTTCCTTCAGAGCCGGGTTTAGTATCTGGACATATAAGTGTTTAACGCATTTTGCCCTATTAATCCATCTGAACCTCTTTAATTTGCCAAAAGCAGATGCGCCAAATAAAGTGCGAATTATTTCATTTATGAATGAATTTAGGCTCTGCAGTTTGTTTGCACAAAATCAAAAGGTGGCAATCCACCCTCTCACTCTCAGAGAAGATAATTACGCACATAAACGTGTAGTTACGTGCTTCATACGGCCTATTACATTTATTTGAGAAAAAACAAATATCCTAAGCATGGTTTTAGACATATCTCACAATATATTTATGTGCCCGAGTTTATGATTATATTCATTGTTTTTAATACACCAACCGCTCTGTCTTCTCTCACGCTCGCCATAAAAGCAGAAGTGAGTATTGCCCATCGTTCAGGAATGATATCAACGAAAAAAGACTGACAGTGGATATGCATTGCTGTTAATGGCTGCTTTAGATGTCTTGGAAAACACCTGCATGAGCCCATGTGCTCCCACGGGATCTGGTGACAAAATGAGATCCGTTTTATTGCAGAACGCTCTTCTGATTATAAAGATAAATCCTAAATAACAATTTGTGATTTAATATGCTTCATCGTAAGCTCGTACTGTGATTTCCAAAAACATGAGAGAAACAATAATAATAATAATAATAATGATATGCAATTACATTAGAGTTACAAAAACAGCAGCATGTATAGTTTGTAATAATGCAAAAATAACTAATTTAAATAAATAAACAAACAAACAAACAAATAAATAAATAAATAAATGTTTACTAGTTGAGTCAGCAAGAAACGCTATCCTTCTAATTTCTGACAGTATCTTTCCGCATCATATTAACTTGCTATCTTTTGAGGTGTCCAACAGGACCGATATTACATGCCAAATGCAGAAAATAACTGCGGATGTTGCTATTGCACTGCTGAGGCTTGATTCTGACAGCACGCCTACAGCCTTACAATGCCCATTAAATTGCGATGATTGTGCACATGCAAACATGACTGCAGTTTAGATGTACAGAGTAACCTATATACTTTGTTACACGTCCAACAAATAATTCAACAGAATCATGTACTTACATGAGCGAATCGGTTGCCTTGCCGTTCCCTGCTTGCTTTACCTGCACATAAACTGCCAAGAATTCGTATATCCTACCCAATACTGATGTACAAAACCTAATCTAGAGCTAAGACCCAAAGTGCATAGTTTCAAGAGAGAGTTTATATGCATACCCTCTCGCTGCGGATCCCACGCATGCACTCATACATACAGTATTTCTACTCTTTTCTCCTCACACACACGCACACACACACACACACACACTCTCTCTCTCTCTCTCTCTCTCGCTCTCACACACACATGCACTCACACGGGAGCTCCTGGCCGTCTGGAGTGTAGCGCGCGCTGACTCGGGTGGCTCTCAATAGCAACATTGAAACTGAACACACCTTTTACCTATTTATAGAGTTCACCTAAATTAATAATGTTAATAGTTTTTTTCTTTCTTTCTTTCTATCTATCTATCTATCTATCTATCTATCTATCTATATCTTTCTATCTGTCTGTCTAGAAATATAAGGCACTCACCAGTGTTCTCACGTCAGGTACAGAGACTTTCACAATAAAATGCAATAGCAGTTTAAAAAAAAAGTAATATGCTCAGAAAAAAAAAAAAAAATTAAGGTGTGACCAACATGAATAATAATAATCATAATCATAATCATAATAATAATAACAATAATAATAATAATTTATTTAGTAAAGGAATACGTTTCACATAATTGCATATTTTGGAACAATACGTTTTCACGCTTTAAAATAGTTGCTTATTGTTGGAGTGTATGAAATGCTCGTGATCACCTTGCGTATGAGGGCTGCGACCTTGACCCCATCCAGGATCCAATGTCCAGTGTCGCACCGGATTCCGCAGGTCCCTGAAAAATAGCACTTATTCCTCTTCAAGAGCTCGAGAAGGGGAGGTGGGGGGAGATCCGAGATGTTGCGGAGCGAGTGGAGGAGGAGGGAAAGAGATAAGTGATCTAAAGGAGACACGATAGGACAAAAAGTGATGATGATGAATACATTGGAAAGTTTTTTGGCCCTGACGAGGGTGTCAGATTGAATGGCCTGTGCGCATGTGCGAAGGTGTCCAAACTGACAATGCTCGTGAGATGAAGATAGCGCTGCTGCTGCTTCTGAGCTCAAGGAGGACGCGAGGAATCTACAAGCCGACGAGATGAGATCCAAGGCGAGGGCGAGAAAACTGGCCAAAAGTAGGTCCTTATTGCGCTTCTTTCGCTCCCGAGCGGCCGCGCGGTACTTTGAACCCTCGCGCACATCACCAAAGTGTCATTTTCATTGATCAGTTCCTACTGCGAGCGCGTCTTTGTCCGGTGCGTTTGTTTTTCAGCTCTCAGTTGCACTGAAATCGCTCAAAAAGTCTCCGTGATCCGCGGCGTCCACCCTTTAGACCAGATGCTGCCGCGGTGTGCTTGTTCAGAAGTTTCTTGTATGTGTTGATGGTGCTTTGGCTCAAATGGTCAGGAGCGCGTTTCCACGCCGCGTTGTTTCACTCTCTCGTTTTAGCGAAGTCGAGAAACCGTAGAGAATTGTTACACGAAAGTTAGCGAAGAGTTGTCGAAAGGGATAGTAACTTTTTTTTATTGAGTGGTTGCAGGTCTTGTGAAATCATATTCCTTCTTGTTGAAATAGTGGGCGCTCTAGCACTGCTCATGGACCCCAGGACGCACAGAGAGGGAGTGTGGAGATCTCCAGAGCTTCCTGCCTGTCCGCTGGATGCCATAGAAGACGGAATATCCAACAAAACGGACAATTCTTCCGATAATCTTAAATTAGGAGCTTGCATTTGTCCTCTGGGGTCTGTTGCGGCTCGGTATGCGGCTTCATCTGCGAATGGCAAATCAATAATGCATACATGTCATGTTGAGGAAAATAGAGTCAGCTATTTTCTTTACTCTTTCAAAGGCGAGGGAAAGTGTGTAAATCTCCTCTGGACTCTGCATGATGTCTTTGCTTATTGTTCGTTAGGCTTTCATTTGTATGACTTGTTTGTGATAGGTAGGATTTTGCACTCAAACTATTTTCTTATATTAAGTGCCCGTGAAATTTTTGCATGCGAATATTCACTGCAGTGTGGGCACAGTCATCGCTCGTGCGATTCATTAGAAAAAAGGCTTCTTTTTTATGGTTATGTATTAAATCGCTGCATGATCATTTCAGTATTCACGGACAATTACAACGAAGTAAATATCGTGCACAACATACAATACAATGTATACAATCGATACAATGTTTTAATATCTCCTTCCAGACAAAAAAACGATTTATCAAAATTAATTTCTTTTTAACTGAACAAGTGGCATGTGAAACAGATGCAACCGTGCACAGTTTTGATAATGCTCAATCTATAGGTTTCAATGGCCATATATAAGATGCGACATGTATTCAAATATTAAGACATTTTAGTGTTTGAATATATGTAGGAAAGCACGCGTGGGCCCGTGACCTGTTGATTCAGATTGCCGGGAGAACGTACAGCCTACTTAGTTTGTTTTGGGACAGAAATGTAGGCCTCGGTATTTTCTCTCAAAACGTCTGGAACGCACGAGACGTGTTTTGCGATGACTTGTCGTTTTTTTTTTTTTTTTTCGTGTTTTGTTGTCGGTGGTTCAAGATTAATTCGGGTTTGTGTTGGAGGTCAGTATAATGACACGACAGCTCTCTTGAACATACAAACCATCTATATCAGACGTTCTTTTATTTACATTTAAATGCATTCATCGTGTACTCCCCTGAGAGATCAGAGTTTCGTTTTTGTGCTAAAGGAGTGTGAAAGGCCTGATCACAATCTTTAAAACACAAGCGCTCATTAAAAACGACTGATAGCGTAGTCTATACTTTTCCTTATTTCGTGTATACCGTGGTTCATCTCGTTGCTTTGATCAGTCAGTGTTCTGCTCTTCCAGATTCACATTCGACTGATTTACTTTATGACTGCATTCAATCTGTCTGCGATATCATTGAGTTAAGATGTTTATTAGAAGCTACGGCTTCCCGTGTTCGTATAAATTCAGTTTCTCGAGAATGCATGGAGATATAATACTCTTTTATATTTATCTGCATTCATTTGAATTTAAATGATGGACAGAGGATGCAGAGGATGTGACAATTTGTGTACTATTATTATTATATAGAAAAAAAAGCATAATTAAAATGATTCTTTAAAATTATACATGGTATATGTTTTTTATATTATTCTTAAAATATGTCGAAACTGTTTTAAAAACGCAAATTATGCAACACCAGCACATTGCAAATTATTTTTATTTGTATTTTTCTCTCAACTCAACAGTTTGCCGTATCGTAATTCCCAAAGAAATGGCAGGTATGGCCGAGAAGCGTCTTAAATATGATAACTTTTTTTATGAGACACCGTCGGTCACTGCTTTTAATTATTTTTCATACCTCAATGCAGTCAAATATCATAACCATAATTGTGTTCAATTAAACAATATTATCAAATATTGCAAGTAAAGCACAAACCAGCATCTGGCGGCTGGATCATCTGCTGTTAGTGAACGAATCAAGTGGCCATAAACGCAGGTAGTTACAAGAGCTTGATTCATAATCTTAGGCCTTTCGTTCATTTTTCGACGAGCGTTTAATGCTTTCTGGTTGAGAATTAATATTCTGTGGCTTATTTATATAACCACCGAGTCACTTAGTGCAAGCTCTGTCTTTGATATATTATCATGCGATAGTTTAAGTTGAGTTTCAGAGAGAAATCGTTTGTTCAGGCGCCAGGTAAGCATGCGTTCGCCTAATACAGCCTCCCTCCTCTCTCTCTCTCTCTCTCTAACCGTTTTGCAATTTTAATATCATAGTCATATTTTAAATCTGAAAGCACAATTCTATAGAAAAAAAAGAGCGTGCAATTTGTGTTATGCATGTATAATATTACTGGAAACAATTAATTATTTTGAATCAAGTTGGGGTGGCGTGTCTAATCAATGACAAACTGAAATGAGTCCTGGCTCTGTCACAAAAAAAAAATAAAAAATAAAAAAAACGCGTCGAAGGACATTTTTTTTTCTGGTTTACGCAGTATATGCGCTGCGTGACAACATATACATGCATACAGTAAATGACGTCACTGAAAAAAAAATGCGTCCGAACACTCATAATTAATAATTTCGAATATACAGTGAAGTGACAGATATAAACTGCCACAGAGATGTCTTTTAAAAATATGCATTTTTTTTTTAAGGATACACATTTATGTATTCACACAGGTTCTTTACTTCACTGGAGGGCAAGGTTTTGTCAAATTCTTTTTTTCCCCCTCTTTCACTTAAACGTGGGCTTTAACTTTCCCTGTTTACATTATGATGCTGTCTTTGAAGAGCGACAAATAGTTGCGCATAGAAATAAAATAGCAATGGATAACGAATCAAAAAGTTGTTGCGCAGCTTATGTTGTTTTGACACAAGTAATAAAATCAAGCTATAACGCTGTGTAAAGCAACAATGGAAGCTGTGTGTGATGTCTTGCTAGAAGACACAGCCTGTCAGCACTCAAAACTGGGCTTTTACAGGCAAAATGGCTGACATTTAGCTGCAAGCTAGTTGAATGTGTATGTGCACAATATGCTTTCACACATGAGAGCTGGTGAACAGACTAATGGTGCGTGAGCCATTAGAGACGTATAACTCCTCACACATTATCTATGAGATGTACGTTTGTCTTTGATAAGAAGTTCTTGTTAAAAGTGCTGGTTAGACTGGAAGAACGGTGAGAAAATCATTTAATGGCTGTGTGTGCAGTGCATGACACACACACACACACACACACACACACACACACACACACACAGGTGAGCATTTCTTTATTTCAACGCTGACGGACTGACATTAACCATTTTGAAACCAGTTTGAATTTGTATTTGATATTGTTGCAATCTTGGCATGTGCACAGAATGCATGCACACATTTCCGTCCTCAACGGGAGCCTGTAGGACAGCCTTTGACCAGACGGCCTGCTTAGTTAACCCCAATCTTGAGCGAGAGGAAAGGTTGATGGGTGGCTTATGGAGCGCAGGCAGAGCTGGCACAGTTTCCCATCTGCCCACCTGAGCCCAATCGCCCTGTGCTTCCCAAAGGTGAGGCAGCTCGAACTCAACCTTGCTCACATTTGTCACACGCCATTCATTCTACTATTCTTTGCACTGTACTGCACTGTTATTGTTCGCTTGTGGCACCTCTTTATGACATCATAGTGACTCGCGCATGGGAGGGCCTTGTGTGTCTAAACACTGTTTCAGCTGTTCTCTGCCGCATTAGAACTGCACACCCTTTTTTTTTTTCTTTTTCCTTTTTCGTTCACCCAATTGTAGGAACTTTTTTTTGACTATGCTTTGGCAGTCATGTGCATACCTTAAAGATGACTTTAGTGTCTTACTGTTTTTCCTACCAGCATAATGCATTTTATTTGTTTCTCAAAGTTTTTTAAGAAACAGCGGATATATAAGAAGAGGCCCCCATGCTGTGGAGCAGAGCAGGGTGCAGCGTGCAGTAGGGGAAAGACAGCCATTACAGAGCTGTTAAAGCCATGTCTGCGAGAGAGACGTGCTTATCATGTTACAGCCCAGGCTGTCTGCAACTCCTTGGCTGTAGAAGCGGACGCACTGCTGTTTTTTTTAAGGTGTTTGATTGAATTGTAGCTCATTATTCTTTCTTGCTTAGAGTGTTGTCTTATAGCTGCCACTGAACTCTAAAGTAATCGTTTATTTTGAATAATTAAATTGGTGAAAGTATTTGCACTTACTTTTGTATTGAGATATACGATTTAGCCTGTTTGCAATTATTATATTTTATATAATTTTTTAAATTATAATAATTATGAAATGCATCTAAAAGCATGTAAAACCAAATAAAAAAATCTACAAATTTATTTATTTATTTAAGTCTCGATTTTAATACAGTAAATGTACACTCTAAAAATGCTGGGTTATTTGGCAACCCAGTGCTGAATAAACATGAGTTATTTTGACCCAGATAGCTGGGTTATATACATTTTGTTGGGTTGTTTCTTGACACAGTGTTTTGTCAAACAATGTCATATTGAAGGTTATTCGTTTTAAATAACAATACAATTTCTGTTATATATGTGATCCTGGATCACAAAACCAGTCTTAAGTCGCTGGGGTATATTTGTAGCAATAGCCAAAAAAATATTACATAGGTCAAAATTATCG